AGAAAGCATTATAAATGCTGCTCAGTTGACAGAGGTTCTGTTTTGTACCAGTTTAAACCGGTTCAAAATGTGAAGCAACGTAAAGCTTATTTGGTCAGAATAGTGTCAGTTTTAAGTCAGTCCGGCTGAGCTGAAGTTTCCCGTGCACTTCTCTGCCTGCACTGCACTGGCACCGTGGCTGATGGAAGCAGCCACACAGTTCAGATGCTGAGCGAAGCCACCTGCCTGGCTCTGGCTGGCCCCTGCAGCTGCAAAGGGCAGCACTGAAAACCAGGAGCAGAAGAACTGCACGCGTTTCAGTGCAACAGGAAGGGAGAAGTTTGTCGTCCCCAGAGGGCTTTTCCTCAGCACGGCCAGCCTCTAACAGGTGCTGCTTTAGGCCACTGAGCAGCCAGTCTGTCTGAGTAGCTACCCCTGGACTTAAAGCCCAATAGTAAAAGGGAAAAAAAAAGGTTGAGAGTTTTTTTCTTTGCCCGCATGGGTAGTACCTACTTGCCTGATATTTTCACAAGCCACTTTGTTTTACTGGCCTTGTGAACAGTGGAAAGTTTGGGCCAGTTTCACTCCCTCTTAATCCTCTTACAAAGAACATTCAGAATGAAGTATCATCACACACAAGAACATTGTTCCGTTAGCTTTGGTAAATTAAAAGAGATTCACTGAGCACCACAAATAGCTGATTAGGATGTCGCATCTTTTTAATGCTAAGAAATACTACATTTCCTGCTACAATAGCCTTAGTTATACATTACTCTCAATAGTTATTCCTGCCGGATAGAAGAACTTCATCTAAATACAGCAAATTAACTCCCAAGGCATTTCCTTCATGCTTCTGGGCAGGCATCCTCACCCGGTTAAATAAACAGATTTTCAGAAGGGAAGAACTGATACGAAAGTGCTTCATGGCTTATGAATGCTTTTGTAATCTCACATTTCTCCAGAAATACTTTATTGGCTGCTTTTCACACCCTTGCACTTCTTGGTACCACTGATTCTGGCTTATTTGCATTACAGCTCTACTTGTACAGAGCTCAAACTGATGTACGCATTGCTCAAAAACAAAACCTGAAGTTGCGGAACAGAAGACTCGAAACAGGTGAAGTGAGCAGCTCTGAGATCACGCTGCTTTGCAAACGCAGGACATGCGACTCCAAATCATTTCTAGAAAGAGTTTAAATGTGTTCCATTAAGCAAAGGTATCTCCACGCCGACACTTGTTCAAGGATTGTACCTCCGCTGGTTGAGTTTCACTCCCTTGAAAGTACTTGTATCTGAACAGGCATCCAAGCAGACCACAATTCCACACGCTCTGGGGAAAATCTGAGGTGTAGAAACGTTTACTTTGTTCTTTTCCTCTCAGCCTTTATCGCAAACATGCAATAAAGCAGAACGCTGGCAGGATGACACCCCATGCAAAACAGGGCACATCAGCAAGACTGGAACAACCAACCAGCCTCGCCTTGACAGTCAAAAGGGGATTTCAAACGCATCGCCTTGGTAAGTCTGTGGCTTTGCCAGGATGGCACGTTTCCCTGTGCTGTATGCCGAGCTGCTCTGCAACTCCACCAAGCAAAATTGCTTTGATAAAGCACTGGGTCTCCAAAGAGGTCACTGGCACAGCAGGCACGGCTCAGGTTCAACAAGTTTGTGAAAAACTGCCTGCTACCGGAAGCAGTCCAAAAAAGCCACCCTGTGCGTCCAGCATGGAACTAGGGGCTTTCCCTTAAGAACAGTACGTGCACTGGGAGTAGAAAAGCATTGTGGGAAAATCTGCCATAGCAATTCGCGTGCTACTCAAGGACTATAAATAGAACCACTGAGAGGTCTTCCACAAATTATGAAAATGAGATGTGCTTGTGGGGATTACTCTGTAATCAGTGTATAAGTTATTAAAGTAAAATAAGGATGTCTATTCATTTTTTCAACCTCCCCTTCTGAAGCACAGATCTGAAAAATCACCTTAAGGAATGCAATAACAATACTGAAGTTTTCTGTATGTTCAAAGATTGTTAACAAGCAGAGAAATGAATCCTGCTTGATTAATTATCACGGGGTGTTATCTTACTGAAAGATTTTACCTTCCTGGTTTTCTCCTTTAAAAACGCTAAATGCATCTGAAATTATTTGGCATATTTTCACATGTAAAGCCTAAACTCATGCAAGCCCTGTCACTTTTCTCCATTAATAGTGACTTAGTGTTATTTAAACTACAACATATCTCAAACATAAGAAGAATGTTACTATATAAAAAAGCAGATTATATCAGTCATTAAAATCTCACTGCTTATAGTAAGCTTATGAGCAGACAGGAATGAGAATTAGCCTACTGGCAAGTATCAAACCCCATCTGTATTTAGTGTTATGCGTACCGACTCAAACCTTTGCTGCGGGGACCTCTTTATATTTTAGTATTTATCAACCAAACTATTTGGCACAACTAGTTAACACTGTAGCTGCCAGTCTACCACAGAGTTGCATTTCTGACGAAGAAAAGGTATTTCCGTAAAGGTAGGAGAGCTAATCCTAAATGAAAGCTGTACGCAGTTGTTCATTTACTGCATAACACACAAAAATGAGAACCAATACTGACATTGTGGGGTTCCTGCTTGCAGAAGAATTAAGTGCTAAATCACACCATACTCCACTTTCCGTACTGCATTTTAATGAGAGATGAAAGTCTTACAATCGCTCCTCCTTTTATGGGACACATGCTCAAATAACAGCTATAGGACATTTTACTATTAGGCTCAAATTCTTTCCCTCCCAACCCAAGTAAACTGGAGCTGTAGCTAATATAAGTAAAAACAAAGCTTCCATGTTTTTGGTTGAATTAAGTTCCAGTATAATCATCCTCTGAGATTTAAAGCATACTTGAAATCATTTGCCAGTAACTGTTTACCCTGAAAGGTCTTGCCAAGTTTTTTATGTTATAATAAAGTGTACATATATATAAAAAATTACAGTTCTTGTCTTCATTTAGTTTGTCCAATTTTTACATTATCATTCAACTGCATGCTCATTTATAGGTTGAGGCAGGTATAAAAGCTGCTGATCATGTTCTATTTCTTGTTCGCAATTCTTCGTTTCCTTGTTGCCAGCATATCATAAAAGGGATCCCTGCTAATACTTGCTCTAGAAGAGAAAAAAAAGGAATCATCAGTTTGGTTAACAGATACCTGTTTTTGAAAACTAAACCTATTTTGCTCTCTTCCCTGTGCATGACTCCACACTCTTAATGAGATCATAGACCACTGAATTCTAAGCATCATGAACATTTCTTTAGAAAAAGATATTACTCAGCTGCCATTTGCTAAGAGTTCGTACCTTCATCTTGACTATTTCTTTAGGTGTGGGTCTGCTTTATAAACCTTCCAGATAAAGTCAAGCTGTGAAAGTTTAAAGCTGCACTGTGAACATGTTTAAGATAAATGTCACTGAAGTTAATTATGAGGTGAAGTAGGAACCTAATAAAATTAGGGTTAAAGACACAAGGCTTTTATAGTTGTTTAAAAAGTAATAAATCCATATTTTCCTGGTCTGAGTTAGCAGCACTATTTCTTGAGGACCAGTCAGTAACAGGACACTTGTTTCTTGATCTGGCAACCCCATGTAGTTTGTCTTTAATCCTTGAGCATATTGTCACAGCAGAATTCTTCAAACAAGTTAGAATACAAATTCTCTTAGTATCTTACTCCAAAAAGAACTTATACTTCATTTCTGAAAGACATTTGAGACTTTAAACTCACTTGATAGATTTAATCCACTCTTCCTTTTCCTCTGGGGTGGGAGCAGATATTCTGTACACTACATGGTTGCCTTCCACCACTCTACCATCAGCTTCAGTTTTACACGCTTTAATTACCTGACCTTTATGACTAGGGTTGTAGAGCTCAAAGCAGTTCTGGAGGGTAGAAATGGAAGAAATCAATTTACAAACCAAAACAAAACTGACAAACATCCTCATTTAACACGAATTTCTATGAGGTTTAGTTCTTAAAAGAAAAAGAAAAAAAAGAGGGGGGAGGGGAGAAGAGGGGAGAGGGGAGAAGAGATCTCACTGGTTTTCTAGGGTCTTCAACTTCTCTTATGCTAAGATTTTCTAATGGAATAATTCCTCTTGGTTCTTTGTCCTAAAGAAAAAGACAATATGTTATTAGCCACTTAAATATCTTTACTACAAACAAAGTTCACTGTAATATATACTCACTGTTGTGTATTCAAAGTAATACAGGCAATTATCAGTCAGAATAAACCATCTCCGTTTCCACGTTTTTACTCTTCCCCCTACAATCAAAGTTATGGCTGAATTAAACCTGTGTCACCATCAAGACTTCAACAATGGGTAAGACAGTGATTTAGTTTTGCTTGGTTTTCAAAATGTAGCTTGATTACTTCATCCCAAATGGATCAGGCACAGATGAGCTGAGGTTAGAGGAACATGTTACCGTAACTCTCATGCCAAGACCAAATGCCCAAGGCAGCATTAACTATGGTGTTGCTGACCAGCCACAAAAGCTGGATGCTCTAAAGTTGCAAATGTCTCCTCTCTTACAGGGAATGAATGCAACAGTTCAGCAGTCATGCCCGCTCCCTCTGTCCATGCCATCACATGTTTACTGCATCCAAAACATTAATACTATAGAGCCCTCAGAAATGCATTCAGTGCTGCTACAGCAAAGGGAGGCCAATCACCAGTGTCTGGTTTAAGCTGGTAAGCAGCTAAACACATCACTTGCACTCTTGCTCCAGGATCAGTTGTATAACTACCTGGTTGCAAAATCAGTAAGTGGTTTCCAGCAACAGGACCAACCCTATCCACAGCACATATCGTACAAGAAAAGGGTCCCATCAGTAAAATCAAGGGCGCTTTATCACCTTCCTTTAACTCGGGAGCATACATGTGGTCAAGAAACTACTTTCAAATTTAACATCAAGTGCAGAAGATGCTTATAAATATTACTAGCAGAACAAATATGTGCCATGAATAAAGAGCAAATCTTATGCCAAAATGTACCAATTTTAGTCACCTGCTATAATTTACTATTTTAAAAGCATGTTCACCTTATGGGTTAATATATCACTGAGTTCCCCTGACAGAAGAAATAGCTACTGCTCAAAAAATGCCAATTTTTCCTGCATTAACAGGGTAGAAACAATGACCATAGAGCTCCTCTTTCTTACACCCACTAATGTCACATTGTAAGGAACAGTTCCTTTTAGAAACATACATTACTGTCTTGGAGCTCTCAGCTGGTTTTCTGCCATTGGCTACTTCAGAACATGTCTAGCAGTCCACAAGCACATTATTTTTCAAACTCATTTCCAGGAAAGACAACTGCAGATAAAGCATTCATGTGTTCTTAACATCCAGGCTTAGCTCCACCATAGTTATCTGACTTCAGGATTATGTCACCACCTGTGCATCATCCATTCAGCAGTGATTTAATCTCATTAATCCAACATTTCAAAACAGTTGATCTTGCTGTTGAATACCACACATAAAGGAGTACTGTCAATACACACAACCACCCCCCCATTCAGTCCAAGTCATAGAACTAAATCTAAGACATAAGCATAATTTTTTAATCTTTTTGTTCTACTTGAGATAGCTAGGATTTTTCTTAATACAGAAATCCAAATAATATTAAAGAACAACTCTAGGAATCTCACGAAACTTCTTGATACCAGTGTACTACACGTTTGCATTGCAGACCAAGTATGTTGCACATTGTATCTTCCTTTTGCTTGGTTTCACGACCTACACAATTACCCCAGTGCTAACACACTGCAATGCTCAATATACTCAATGAACTTTTATGTTTCTACTACATACACACACACATATTTTAAGAAAAATTTAATCTGCAAGCAGGTGTGGTGAAATAAGAGAAGGCAAAATAGTGCAAGATGCAGAAGCCGTGACAGAATGAATGGTTGAGTGAACTGGAGACAGTGAGGGAAGAACTGGTGGCAACCACTGTGACAGATCCTTAAGTAAAGCATTGTAGAAACATTCAAACTGGCACGTAAGTCACTAGAAAACTCCCATCACCTTGACTGAGAGCTGGTTCAAGTATCAGGAAGTACTTCACTTCAGCTTGACTCACTTCCAGATCAATGCATAAGCAGCAGCTGAGTCAAGGTGACGGCCAAGGCAGTCCTTGCTATCACAATAACATGACATCTTTTCATACAACCCAGTGTTCATTGCCAGGACTTCTAAGTCACGTTCTGTTCTCTAAGGTTAACATCGTTTAACATTTTTAGGTCACAAACTCATCAGGCTAACAGGCAACATGAGCTTGCATCAAATGTCATGGCTTGCCTAGTTCTAGTAGAAAATTCAGCAGGGGAGAAGATGAAACAAACAGGCAAATAGGTAACTATCACAGAGGCAAATTAAATTGAGCAAAGGTTTTCCTCAAACTTTTCCCATGCCAAAACACAATAAAAAAATTAGCAGGTAATAACCATGTAGTTAAAAAGAAGACCTACTAATAACTTGAAGCAGGAACAATGGACTTAAAACACACACCTCCTAGGACAATATGAAATGCCAAGTAGTAAATTACAGTTGAGTTTGCTGAAGTTTTTCCTGACAACACCTCCCTGCCCCTTGGGAAAAGCCGTATTTCTCAAACCTGAAACCTTTTGTAAAATCATGCTGCAGCTTTGATGAAGCTTTTGTCATGAAACATTTCCCAGCTCCAAGGTAGTATTGATGTTGAAGCCAGAGAGAAGATCAAGTATTTCCAAAGGCATCCCCCTTACTGCTCCTTTCTCCCTAAAAGAGCCAGGAAGTAGCTCATGGGGTTACAACACTCATGTGAGTTGCGGAAATAGACCTGAAGTCTCTGCTCCACTAAACTCTCAATTACTTTTCCAGGAAAAAAAAGCAGCAAGGCAGGAGTTTTTGGCAGGATAAGAAACTATTCTCACATGTAAGTCTCTGTGTCCCCACTCCACTGCTTCGTTGCAGCTGTCAACAGCACAGAAATGCTAATAAAGCTTGAAAGGCAATCTAATCTGTACTTGCCAAGTTTCCAGGGGTCACCATAAAACAAGCATTTAATATGCCTTTACAATGGGCTGAAACCCAAGAAGCTGGTTGATAAGGCTTTGTGGCCCATAAGCACTGTAGGCAAGATTAATGGTAAGAACTCGTGATAACAAAACATTCTTTTCTTTGGCCAAGATTGCCGTAGGCTCACAAAACAAAGGGTTTAGTACCATACTTCGTATCTTATTCCAGCTTCCAGCCTTTTAAAGATTAAAACTGGAAGGAATTAAGTTAGCAGAAGAGGATCAAGAAAATCCAAGTATGAATCCATAAACATTTATAGTAATGGAGAGATATAAGTGATGTACTTCTGAAAGATCTAGTTGATTAATTAAAATGCAAAGACTTCAAGAAAATAAAGCAGCATTATATCTTGTAGATGGAAATCTAAGGAAACCACAAGAAAAGGCCACAACAAGGCACAAGGTACAGAAAGAGGAACAGAAACTCTCTTCACTTACGTAACCCAACATAGGATTTTTTTCCCCCCAACTGTGGGCAAAGTACAAACTAGACAACATAGGTAAAAGAAGCCTATAATCAAAGGGAAAAACAACTGACAATAACTCAGGAAACACACATTTAAACATTAAAAAAGGTCTTAGGACTAAAGGCAGCAACGTGTCTGAAGTTAGAAAATTCTACCCAAATCTTCAGCACCTTTATATGAAGTTTTAAAGGGGAAAGAGAGAGATGCACCATCAAGACTCATTTTTCTTCTCATCAAGAATGTTTATTTCTCATGTTGATACAACTAGGCAGAATGGACCCACAAACCGTACAGTTATACAGGTGATTTGCATCAAAGCTTGGATTTCTTTGAAAAAGAAGTTTCCCTTGACCACATCATTGACTGCCTCAACCTGGAAGAGCATCAGTTACTACAAGAACAAGGCAGGTACCAGAAGGCACCAGTTTCCTGATTAACCACCACTATTCTCTTACCCCAGATTAGGGAAGAGAGAGAGGGCATCCTCTCAAGGCCCATCCCTGGCAGGATGGGCCCAAACGTGGAGCTTTTGAACTATCTCCAAGTTCTCAGTAACTGCCTGACAGGCAGAAGAAAAGAATGTGATCATGTGTCTAGCTTGAATCATTTCCTCTCCGGCTTGGTGGAATAATGTCATAGTTTCCCTCAAACTAGATGAAAATATTACATAAACCAAGCTGTTTGCCAGGAGAGGCTGTTTTAGGCAAGGAAATGCCTCCCTGTGCAAAATGACTGTAACTTGGACACTGAGACAGAGCACAGACTACAGCTTCAAAATACCCTGAAGTGGATGGCAGAAAGCTTCATGGTGCCAACACCACTAATAATTATGATGCAGAAAAATCTAAAAGCTCACAATGTCTCAAGCTGCCCTGAGCAAGGATTCATGCTTCAGACAACGTAGAACTGAATGATAGTTTAGGCTTACCACGATAAAGATGTCTATATAAAGGAAACAGCTGAGTCTACATAGATAAAACCAGAACTACTGTCTGGCTACCAGGTTTAGGCAAGACTTATACAAAGTCACCTCTGAACAATTCAGGGCAGCAAACTCTCCAAAAGCATCTAGCACCCTCTCAGCTTTCTAAAGCCCAGTGCCAGCCTGGAAAGCTAGGGTGATCTTTAGGATAGTTGAATCTTATAGCATATGAAAGGTCTGTGACATCCATCTCCTGCTCACAGGATAATCAATATGGGGAGCTGCAATACTAAACAGACGGGCACAAGTAGATAAATGGGAAGAGTTAACTATAAGAAATACCAAATACAAAGTACTGTCATAATATACCCAAGGTTTCCAAGATGTCTTGGTCGTATTTGTAGTTTTAGATGAACTTTTTGTTTCAACTCTTTAAGCATTATAACAGCTAAGCACTTAAACTCTCACACAGCAGTAGTCTCCTTTGCATTTCAACAATACTGAAACTTTCCATATCACCGTTCTCCAGAACTGAAGGAAACCCTACTCATTTCACAAGATGTGTTTCCCAACAGAAAGGACTGTAAAAATGCAAACGATGTGGATTGAAACAGCACTCTCAACATACAGTTTAAGCCTCCTAGCAAATAGGAAACCCAAGGGAAAGAAAGAAAAGAAAGAACAGAAGAAAAAAGAACAGAAAGAAAATGAAAAAAAGAAAGATTGCCAGGCTTATTTCTGGTCAGTGCACCTACACTCGTAAAATGTATTTGTCTGTCCCAGCCTGTGTGAGCTGAAAAAAATGCAGTCTTTCACGGAAGCGCAGCTTCACGCATTTACAGGCTGAATCACCAGAGGCTTGTGGATATGTTTGATTTCTTTATTCAAATAACCCTCATGTCATGGGAGTGTTATGTGCCACACCCTGCTGTTTCACACACACTTTTACTACTGGGTTTTCTGTAGGCTGTCTCATCTACCCTGTACATAATAAAAAGCTGATTTTATTGACCTTGTGCCAGAGCCAGAGATGGGTTGTGCAGAAGTAGCTGGCAGCTCTCGCTGACTTTCAGTCACTATTTTTTTCAATTTCTTTGTTCCTCTATTTTTATTAGATCTCTTATTGATCTTTATTAGAATTTTTATTGACAGCTTCTTCCGAAACTGTCATTCCTCTACACACACTCTCACTCTTGCTTGCGCTCTCAGTATGTGTATATGAAAGGGTACTAGCAATAGAAATACGCACAGCATGGGCTTATACTCAGCTTCTTCTCCAGAAAGCACATTACCTACATAATTTTGAAAGCCGTTGCTGTTGAGATAGCTACCACCTTGTGCTACAAAATGGAGAAAATCAGCAAAGTCACCTTTGAAATTGTGCCAGCTGAGTCAACACATGTCAAAAAGCAAGAGCTTTGCTTTTTTGTAGTTAGAAAGATATCCATAACATCTGTAGTGCAGAGGCCAAAACAAGAAGACATCAGAGAGCACATGAATGAATGCCAAATGCTTCCTTTTCACATCTATTTCTTTCCAGCAGTAGCATGACCACCAGTTTTTAGGTGCAATCAACAGAGCGGGCCCATGGCTCTACCTGGGCTCTACTTTCACCATACTCACCCCACGTGCACCACACAGCACATCCCTTTTCACACTTCAGTCATCATTCTCCAAGTGCAAAGTTCCTTCTACTTTAACAAGCAGTTACACGTTAAATTGGCCAACAACTGGCTCTACTGGAGTGTGTACGGGTGTTTTTATATAATGAGGCTTATTTCATTGAAAAACAAATGTGAAAACAAAATTTCAGTCTCCTTTTTAAACGAAAAAATTCCCTAAGCCCAAGTGAGAACATGAATCTCATCAACTCTAAAAAAAGTCTGTGAACAAAGGCATCTTGCAGTGCCAGGAGACTGCAAATTACCAGAGGTTTCCACAACCCTAAATTTGGTGCTCATTCAAGATTTTGTTACGTAAGCTAAAGATTGTATTTACAAAGGAAAATAAAAAAGCAAAATAACAGTTTTGATAAATGCATAGTTCAAATGTAATCAATCTTTCAATAATCCAATTGACATACAAGGAACAAAATCACCCTGGAACTTCATTACAAGAGTAAGGTGTTGTTTTCTCTTGGTAGAAATCATTCTTTCCCTCTTATGTTATTCATCGAACAAGAATAGAACAAGAATAGTCATCTTTATTTTTCTCCTTTACATGTAAGCACTTTCTTCTTTTCCAGAACACACTTGCATGTAAGCCAGAGACGGACAGGCCAGTCAGAGTACCCCTGATGATACTGTTAGTGACACTGAGTGAAAAAGTAAAATGCTACTATAAATTTAATTTAAAAATAAGAAAAAAGAAAAAAAGAAAAAAAGAAGAAAAGAAAACAGGAGGAAGGAGGAGAAAAATAAAAGAATGAGCAACTGAAAAGGATGGGACTGGAAAGCAATCAGATACGTACCTCCTAATGCAGAATAAGCAGAGACAGCCAGTCACAGAACAGAAAGGTGATAGGTCATAGGCCATAAGGAAAACAAGAAGGCACATTTAAACCACTCATTAAAAAATCATAGCCAAAACCAAACCAAGAGAAGCTCACAAATAATATGGAAAAATAAAGACATACAAAAATAACTGTTTGAAGAGAAATCCTTTTTTGTACACAGAAAACTGAGTTGAAATATCAGAGTTTTCTGAAATGACCTTATAGAGACTTAGCTGCTATTTATCAGTCACAGCATATGGTAAATACCATACAGCATTTCCCTTTTGTCACTGAATTTTACTTCTCATATATCAAAAATAGAACTCCAAAGTTTGAAACAAGATCAATTTGGATATGTAAAATAAGAAGTAACAACATTCAGACGTAAAAGGGTTACTTATTTTGGTTCATCCATTTTTGAATACAAATTACAAAGTTAATCCTATTACCTTCACAAGAAAGAAGATAGACAAAAAGCAGCAAACATGCTAACAATGAACAAACATGTCACAGCAAAACTGCCCTTATAACTAACCTAGTTTCAGCAGCCAGCCTTCTCTATCTGGATTGAAAAATGTATGCGTTAGATCATTTCCATCATCCTCTGGGATCTTAAATGGCTCATTCTTAATACTTTCATATAAATTCTAGAAGAATAAAAAAAAGAGGAAAAAAAGGTCAATTAACAAATGTCTAACAGCAAATGCAACCAGGACATCTTATTGCTTCTCAGACTCTATAAAAAGCATAGTAAACAATATCCATAACATTCTGGACCATCCCTTCTCAACTCTGTTTAGTACTTTGATTAAGTTTGATTTTAAATTATTCCATCTATAAATGTCTCTTCTTACAGATTTTATAAGCACTCTTTGCAAAGACATCTTTAAGTTAACTTCAGCATTCAGTATTTCAGAGGCTTCAGCTCTCATTTAGTACAAGTTTTGCCAACTGAATCTGGATTTTCAGAAAATGGTTTAGACCACCACAGTGTCTTAGAAAAATAAGTATTTTTACTAATATCTCAAGGGACAGGAGGAAGATCCACAAGACACATGGGGAGGCAATGATGAAACAATGATTTTCACTATTTTTTTTCCAGCTTTTTTCTGACTTATCCAAATACTTTTTCCTTTTTTTTTTTTCCATAAGGAGCCAATTCCACAAGATTTTTGCCATCAGCAAACTACTGAGAGATATACAGTGTTTTCCCTGGAATCTCCTCTCTTCAACAAAAGATTGAACATAGGGAGAACCAGCTCAAAGCAGCTGTTAATATCAGAAAATGCTTCTTTCAGCTATTCAAATGGTTATGCATGCTAAAAAATGTTCTTCTTACTTTCCCTTAACAAATTTGCCTGAGAATTTTTGCACATGCTTCTACATTTCCTATTAAAAACACAAAACTATGTCTTGCCTTACCCAGTCGAACTTACCCGTAGTAATTCTTCTGGAAGGTCTCCACCTTCATTAATTCCACGATTCATAGAAATAAACCTCTCTACGGTTGGTTTATCTCTTACATTGTGGTTGTGCAGACTGGTATTCAGCATAATGATCGCAAATGAAAGCACATAGCATGTATCTGAAATAAAATTTGAAGGAGTTATCTTTCTATGTGTTGAAGTGCAAACCTGTGAAATGAATATATAAGCTCACCCTGACTGATAAAGACAAAGGTAGTAAAAAACTCTTGAACATGAAAAACTATGGAAGCAAAGTCTCAAATCTTTGTTTAAACTGCTGAAGTAAGCCTAAAAAGAAGAAAAATACGGAACCATTCAACTTTAAAGCCAGTAAGTGAAAAACAGTACAAGAGAATTAAAAAAAAAAAAAACAACAATAAACCCCTCTCTTTGAAAGCATTGCTATCACCCTAAATTAACATTTCACTTGAAACACTGAAGTGCTGTTGTGCAAAACATTTGCTGCACACAGATTTTGCCCAAATCATACTGGTAGATCTTCGTCAATCAGACTCCTACTAAAAGTACTTACAAAGCTTTCTCCGAAGAATAGTCTCTTAAAAATAATAGTTGAACTATATTTACACAGGCTGAAAATGACACTGACTCAATTTCTTGGCATGCATGATGACAACAGAGATCTTATCATGCCTCTTGACACAGTTATGATTATAGTAAATTCTCCCAGAATTCAAGTACAAGGTCTGTTTTAAGAAAAAGCAGGATGGAAATCTCTCTGCTACATAGAGGAAAAATGTGTTTGCACCTTCAGCATGTTGTTTTCAATATGTATTTTCCTCTGTAGCTGTGGCAGACCTGCTTTACGTCAATCCTTTCCTAGCCTGTATGCTCCTCAAACTAAGCGATCAACAACGAGCTATGATCATGTATAACTAAACAGACCAACAGTGCCAGAATGCTAGGGTGTTCTGTGCAGTATTTCAATTAGCTTTCATACTTTAACTGGCTTAGATATATATATTAATGTTGAAGTTTTATAAATGGAACTGCATTCTGGCCGTAAGCTTGCACCTCCTGAAAACAAAGTGTAGAATCAGACAGTTGCATTTTCTCAATTCTGAGAAATTTCTCATTTCACACATTATTTTATCCTGAACTTCCAAACTAGACATCATCTCCTTGCATCAGATGCAGAAGAATGTATATGATTAAAAACGAAAATAAAATACATATACACACAATTAAGAACTCCTATTATTTCCTGTGACTCACCTGTAGACTGGAAGACTCCTGGGTTACAAAGGCAGTAGCGTGAAGCAAAAGCTTCCATCATACGATCAATTTTTTGAGCCTCTCCTGGGAGTCTGAAGCTCCACAGAAACTGCCTACAGAAGGGATGAATAGTCTTTAGATTTATATACTCAGCACATATGACCAATAATCAGAAACTAACAAAAAAAACAACCAAAAAACAACCACAAAACCAACCAAACAGCAATGTCTATATAAAACGTCCTAGAAATATGTTCTCAATCTCTCAACACACAAGTCAGGAGCTATTATAAAGCAACATGCACAGATGGCTAGCCCAGTAGTTCAGCCAGCAACACTGCATGCTATCAGGCAAGATAATATAGCAGTTCATATTCTGAGACTCTTTCTTCCAGACTAGTAAACGATTTTCTGTATGCATCCCATTTTTGCTGTAAGGCTGCTACGGGGAAACAGTAAGATCAATCTTTTCTGTGTTTCCTGGCTAGTAAAAGCAATACACATTCAGCTAGACTTTACTTACAATGTAAAAAGACACATTACAGAAAATATTTCTGGTAGGGAAGAGAAGCAAGGAATATAAAAAGCACTTAACATCTTTACTTGAACTCATCAAGAACATTTTAAAAACAGTAACAAGAAAACCCCCAATGCTTAGAGAGGTGCTGCCTGTCTAATGTAAGCTCACCCTGTAAGAATCAGACCTAGATCTCAAAAAGAAAGATTCATGATATTGTCCCAGTAATTCTGTAATATACACAGGAGATCTGTGCTCCTGTTTGGCAGCAGGAACTGGAATACAGTTTTTACTTTCATAACTTACTATTTCTATCTATAGGTACACTGGAATGCATACAGGACAGAAGCCTTCACAAATTTACTTTTGGCACACTGTGGCGCTAAAAAGCTCCAATGAATCTAACATTTTTTAATTTCTTAGCAAATTATCTAAATTAAAACAGGATCTAAACCAGCAAAGTTACATGCTCTGCCATGCAAAACAAGTTCTTGATATTCCCTGTACAGTGGGTGCCAATATAGTAACCATTTATTCCTGTCTTCATCAGTTTTCATTTCAGGACATTAAAGTGTCACAGGCCATCTTTAGTTTCTCATCTCTATATACTGTCTTTTACTCACCTCATGCAAGGTTCCAACCCAGATCACGAATTTTGTAAGCTACCAAAATACAAACATTTAATAATAGCAGCTGCTAAAAAGAATAAAGTTAAACCTAACGTTAAATTGGGAAAAAGTGACAGAAACATGAAGCCTCCCAGAAAAGCTTCAGCAGACAGAGAAAAGGCTTCCTTAGCTCCAGCCTCAGGCAGCTCAAGTTACCATCACTCAACCATAGCAAAGCTGTTCTGACTCCACATCACAAGACTCTGCACCAGAGACAAAGATGGACATGGACATTTCAATTTATCTGGTGTCAGGATGGTGTCACTAATGACAATGAAATTGGCAGAACTATCTAAATCAACTTAAGTTGTTAGACCTGTAATGGATTTCCACTAAGACAAGAAGGGACTTCACAAGGTCACTGCATGCTAGCATCCTAGGGAAGTCAAGTAAACTGTTCACTTAGCAAGGGAAAAAAGTATACTAAAGTATTATACTTTCATTCACATGACAAGTGGGAAACTCGGAGGGAAGTAGAAATAACTTGGTTCAAAGTTTACCTCTTTGAAATTGAACATAATCACAGATTATGGTCAACAGAATTCCACCCCTTCCTTGCCCAGAGGAACAAACTGAGGTGGAAGAAAAGAAGAAAGAAGAGGGCAGCAAAGAAAATTATTTGTTTGGGTTAGGAGTTTGTTTTTTACCTATCTCAATGCTGAGATATGAAGCAGATCCTCAAACGTCCACATATGGCAGGCACACCAAAAAGTTATTTGTGTTTGTTTAGTTGTTTGTATTGGACTGAAATAATGATGAAGTTTTCACCTTCGAAGGCAGCACATACACAAGCAATTGGAAGGGTTAAAAAAGAGCTGTCTCTGCTAACTTCCACAGTAATGCGTATAGTCGTGCCAAGCTGTAGATCAACTTTCTGATGAATAAATCTACACAGGGACTAATATGAATGTGCAGTTCAAGAAAGAAAGCTCAGGTCAAAAGAAAGAATTTACTCACCTTAAAGCTTGTACAAGATTGAGATCAGCAAACTCATGGAGTTCAACAAAAGCCTGAAGAACTTTAATATTAAATTCATCTCTATGAAAGACAAAAATGCAAATAGACGATTATGATTCTGAACTTTAAAGAATTCCTAATTATCTCTATTTGCTTCAAAGAATAAGCAAGAAAATAAATGATCATACTGACCAAATCAAGTCATCAGAAATAGTTTACAAATTTGAGAGGCATTCTGCCCATTATTGCTAGGTACTTTAGCAAGAGCCAGTATACTTAAACCTATTTTAGCACCGCTTATTTAAATGACTCAAAATGGCCTGGCCTTTCCTGCTTCCCATTTATTATTACTGCACCTGCTTTGATATGGGATGACACCAAATAAATTTATCCAGTAAAATGTCTTTTGCATAAATTGTGCCATGAACTCAAACCAGTAGTCAACCCGAGATTAATTTCTTTAGCCATTCAACACATGAAAACCAAACTATCCTGTTTCTTCCTCTAAGAACAGAAAATATTAAAGCAATATATTAATTTATGTACAAAGATGAGTACTTTGGATACCGATTGTACCTAAGAAAAAGAACAGCTTTTTAAAAGAACTACTTAGTATGCACTATATTCTTACTCCATTCTCAAAAACCGTTACAATGGAAGTTTATTAGAGTCAGAATAGGGTTTGAACAGGCTTCTTCTCACCTAGCTTTTATATTGCTATGTAAATCATGAGCCAAATTTTGCTTTGATACAAAGATGTTGAAATGAAAAAATAACATTTAAACATTAATGAACCCAAAACTGTTTGGATGCAGACAGTATTTAGCCTATGCCATCACTCAGCTCATATGCCAGAAGCATAAAGGTTTATAATCCTCAGAGTGTGCTTTAAATGCATCACCAAGACAGAATGCTGCATATCAGCCTCCACCCAAAATTAGAAAGGTGTGCACCCACCAGAACTTGTGTTGCATTTCTCACTAACTGCATAGCCAGACTGCTCAGTAACACTCACAAGTAAGTACCTTAACACAAATTATTCATTCATTGAGATGTCCCCATTTTGTAAACACAAAAACACATCACCTCTGTCAAGCAAAATGAGGCAATTCTCCTGAGATTTAGTAATGCACTTTCAAGTGCATTTAAAGTTCAACTTCACTAGTTTTCAGTGCAGTAAAGTGTTATAACAGTATAATGAAAGAAACCATTCAATGGGGGTACTTTGTTACTTTAAGCCAAATATTGATTTTGCTTATGTGTATGGAAAGCTGCAGTAATTCAGAACAAGTATTAGCCTTATACTCTAAATTTTGCTCTTCTAGGTTTTAGCATAAACTAGATATACAAAATTTCCTGATCAAATCCACTACATTTCTATTTAAACCTTGAAAAATCTAGAAGATATAACTGAACTACATATTTATCTGTATATATACGCAATATTAAGAAATACTGCATTTTCAGATTAGACCACAGTGCTACTCAGCAGCATCTCTGCCAGGGATGCAGAAGAATGAGCAATATTTTTTTTTTTCATTTTCAATTTGAACCCATGAATAGTCATAAAAATATCACTGATCACTTCAGTGGGCTTGGACATACTGGTATAACCTTTCTGCTTGGTACAGGAGTTCTGGGAATAAGGCTAGAAAAACTGAAAGTATTTCAGATGACAATACCAAGATAGAATGCAGCTCTCAAAACCAAACACAGACTCCTTTATACAAGCTTTGTTACAGTTTTGCAATTATGGACATTAACATATAAGTGATTTTATAATACTGATAGTCCAAATATTCAAGAGAAACAACATACTGCTGTTGTATAAAAATTATTGAAATGTCTACACGTACTATACAGAAACTTCACAGCCAAGATCTATTTTCAAAATCTACATATTACAGTAAAAACTTTCATTGACACCATTAAAATAAGGAGGAAATTGCCAAGCACAAGCTAAGCTGTTGATGCTGTTAACAAGAATACAGGTGCCTCAAAAGGGATCTGCCAGAACATATACACTCCAGCAGTATATCCCAAATGAGTCAACTTTTAAACCTCTGTAACTGGTATCTGACCTGGAACATGTGCAAGCATATAGATACACATACTTCAGCCCACTCTTCTGTCTCTTTCTGCTACCTTTTTCAAAATCAATTCCTGGGTTGCACAGCAATGGGAGTAATTTGCATTTTGACTCTGTTTTGCAATAGTGTCCATAAATATGCATGTTGCATGTTTATTGTACTAGGATTGACAAAGATATGGTGCAGCTGCCATTTCTGATGCCTCCTTACTAATGGGAAGTCTGTGTGCACAGAAGATGACAACACTAAAGCCCGCATGTAACTGCTGTCCCACTTACTAGTGATTGTAAAACACTCCTTGTCTGGCACAGCATCAAGAGTTACCGGAACTGTTGCAGCTCTCAGACATTCCAAAAGCTTATGGTATTAAATTCTGCACTTCAGCCAAATTTAAGGGTATTTTCTCAAAACAGTAAGTTACAATGAATTCAGTATCATTCCACAATGTAGCCTACAAGAACAACCTAACAGAAAAAACCCTGTCACAATACCGTAGCAGTTTTACTTCCCCCAGTAGCTTTTATAGATCACAGAGTAGTACAGTAGCGCTCTCATGAAGCCTGTGAAGGGGAAGGTAACTACCGAAATCTGTAAGTATGCTTTGTAAACTCAAGAACAAAATTTTCAATATTTCTATTTTACCTTTCACCGAGGTAATCTCCAATTACCGTTTTATTTAATCCTTCTCCTTTATAAAGGAACTGTGCAATGTCTTCTGCAGTGTTCTGCAGGAGGTCATTTTCTATCAGAAACTGTATTCCCTAGGAAGAGCAATTCCAGAGGAAAAGGAATGTTATGTTTTCTTCTACAAGCAGTTGTGCAAATACCACTCAGAACATTTGTTATTAATATACTGACACAGACATATATATAGCACATTAAGAATTACATCAACCTACAGACTTTTTTAATGAAATGGTAAATGTTTTTCAGTTAAGATAAGCAGGTAGGTAAGTATTCATTTTAGAAAGGCTAGAAGTACTAGGTGGCAGTTTGAATCCCTCAACAATAGAAATATTAAACATTAACTGAATAATGATTCCACGTTGCTCTTTGGAGTTACTGCCTGAGTTGGCCTGTTCATAATATTGTATAAATGTCTCATAGCAATAACCTAATTACCACCATGACACAAAATAAAGCATCTGTTATAATCTACAAACTGCAACCCAATACATCAAGCCATTTCTTGCAGTAGAAGTTGTGGCTGAAGATATTAAAACCAGTTTAAAACAGTTTATCAGCGACTTCTGGTTGTGCTGGAACTAAACTATTCACAGAGGACTTGAACTAGACTATTCACAAACCAGTCAAGCTTCTACCACGGAGCTTCTACCAAAGCCAAGAGGAGAATCTTACCCTGCCCCTCAGTGGGTACTCGATCAAGCCCCTGGACTCCTATGCCTCCATAAATTACTGGCCCTACAACTGGTACATTCTAGGGATGCCCAGAGAACTGCAAAGTGGTAAAGAAAGGAAACTAGAAGTTACATAAAGATTACATAAAGGATGGAAGGGATGTTATTCCAACACTCAGCAGGTCATAAAGACACAGTGCTCTTTTCTTCCCCACCACACGCCTCAACAAAGCTATTCCTGTGTGCTTCTTAAAACTGTTAATGACATGCTAGTGAAAAGTAGAAATGGCATTTGTAAGTAATCTTAATGCCTTGGATTCCAAGTATGTCAGAAGAGCTGAACAAATTATTCCAAATATTTTCTAACAGAATATTTCATAATTTCAGAAATACTAGAAGTTTCCCAATTTCTGCAAATTGAATAGGTTTATCTCATTACAACTGGGAAGACTCCCATTATTTTTTGTTATAGCACAGGAGACCCTGCAGTAACATTCAAAAAAGTAATTATCCTTCTATTTGGTTGATTCTGGGTTTTTTATAATGAAATTGTTACCTGCCTGAGATAATAAAGTCAATTTGCTGACCTAATTTAACAAAGAAAATGCACTGTGATGTTACAAGGCTCAAAGCTTTCAAGGAAAAAAAAAATAATAAATTCTGGAACACAATTTTCTCAAAATAATTTTATCACCATCTGAAAACTTGATTTCAGTGACAGGCCAGTACTCTGACAACTTAGTATTTTGATAAGTCATTTCAGAACAGACATGATTTCGTTTCAAAGAGTACATCCATTTTATCTTGAAGCAGAAATACTCAAGCTTCCCTCAGAAATGACCCCTTCAAAGCTTATTTGATAACTAAATATTTGGACAGAAAAATCATCTCAATATGAAACACTATGTTTTTTCCCATACCAAGTTATTCATTAAGCTCTCAGCTCTGTCACCAACAGAGAAACTTCCTTAAGAAATACCAGAAATGGCAGTTGCAGATTCCCGCTTTCAACACCTGGAGCATATTATTAACGCTTAGACTGACTAAAGTAGTTTTAAAAACATTGTACATGTTACTGGAATGGATATGACTAGAAGCATAGAAAATAAAAATTCTGTGCACAGAAGCACTTTAACATACTATTCCCCCCCCCCCCCCAAAAAAAAAAAATTAAAAAAAAAAAAAAAAATCAACACAATCTTTCATTTTCTGGATTTTATTTTTTTTAATTCTTAGGATGTTAAAGAACCGGAAGTCAAATAGACAAGAAAAGGAATCTGTCTGGGACAACAACTCAAGCGTCTGGAATAAATGGTAAAATAGGCCAGCCAAACCCCCATCAACTCCTCCTACACTTTCGTCTTGATGCAAATTTTCTTTCTGCAGACTGACAGGAGACTGAAGAGAGCTGCACTAGTTCGATCTCCCCACACAAAATTCATAGCTACAGAAATATTCAACATTCACCACAGGTATTACATTGCTTTTCCAAAGTCAGATTTCAATGAAATCTGCTTTGAATTTTATAGGCTTTACAGTAACTTGATTACAAACTTTGCAGTTATTTAAACCCTACTTTTGTCACAGGGATTCCAGTTTCTGGGCCCAACGCAGGAAGCACTGATTTCCAGTACTGCGAATTTCAAGCACAGCTTTATGTCCTCTGTGCAAGGATTCTTGAAATGTTTTACAAACTTTACCATTACAGCCCTTCCTGCACTTGGCTAACCAAATCCAAACAGCAAGGTATGTGATATTACATCACATAATTGTATTAAGCACAGCCATGTTGAATGAGGGTTTTCTGGGTGTGGGGAAGAGGGAGAATTTCTCTATGTACACACCAGAACACGTAAAGGTCTTCAAACAAAAGTGGTAAAAGAAAATTACCTCACTATGCTCCTGCTAATTGAAAACATTAGAGCTCCGTTGTTTGCTTTTAAAGAAGAGAAATTGGAGGATTCAGTGCATCTATTATTACCCCAGTTCTCTTCACATTCCTAACTCTAGAGACCATCTTCCCTTCCTTTATGAATGAAAAACACCCTTTTCACAATGACCCCAAGTAAATTCTCTCAATACTACAAGGACATACATTTTGGCTGCCTGTAATTTAAAGGAGTAGCTGCAAACAAGATGATCTAGCTTTAGAGCAGCCAGCTACTGCAGGCCACCACTGATTCACAGACATTATTAAGCAAATAGTAGACTTACCACTGTAAGTCTACCACATTTAGATTACACTACAGTAGTAATGTGGCCACAGCATCTATTTATAGAAATAATTTCACCCAGCAAGCACAGTAACAAAAATAGTTAACACTGGAATGAAAGCATCTGACATCATCCTGTGACTTTGCCACAAACTTCTAGGACGTGAAAGAGCTGGGGAACAACAGCTAACTACCAGGATATTTGGGGGTATTCTGCCCTCAGCAGAATAGAAGTTAGACGGTCACCAAATGGAAAAGAAAAACACAAGACATGGTCAGTAGCTTGAAAAAGAGTTTCATATCTCGAAGTACTTGAGTGTTTCTGGTAAACTAAAAACAGCCTGAAGAGTAGCAGCCATCCCTGTACAGAACATTACAGAAAAGCCACCAAAATGTAACTGAATTCAATACAATTTGGAAGAAAGCATGTCAAGAACTAACACAGAAAACCAAATGCTAAACAATTTCCAAGAAGACCTCAAAGAAGACTCCTCACAAATTCAAAATGGAATCTTAACCACAAACAAAACAAAACAGTAAAACAAAACAAGGAAAATGTAAAATGAAAAGTAAAGACAAGACTAAAGGTCAATTACGTCAAAGCACCTCTTTTAAATCTATCAGGAGAGGTCTGTAAGAGAATGTCCCTGAATTTTGCTGAAAATTAACAACTATTCATGAAAAGTACAGGTACTCCAGAGAAATGAACTATTTCTTGGCCAAATGCACAGCAGACTTCTTCAAACTGGTAACCAAATTTCTACCTGTAGGTGTTTGTACAAGACGTATAGGTACACCTATATATTTATAGAAACAGATATTCATACATGCCTTTTCCACAAACAGAATTTAGATATGCAAATATAAAAGCCTGGATGAGAACAAATTAAAAAACCTGTGAAAGGTATTTTGGAAGAAAAAAAAAAAAAAAAGAGGGCATAAAAAAAAAAAAGTGTGGCCTCACTAATAGCCAAACATCAAAACACCTATAGAATGATATTTGACATATCAACATAGAACACCTCTATCAGGTGCAAGTAATCTTTCTGCAAGCCAGCTCAATCAATACTGGCATATTTGATTGTTGATAAACAGTCTCCATTATCAAAAAAGGTTTGCTTAAGTGAAAAAAAGTTTCTAATTTAACCCTCTCCTCAGTGTGTTACAGGATATACAAATAAGGCCTATGAACTTACATTACCAGAAACGTTTTCTCAAGAAAACTCTATTTATTATAGATCATATTACAAGCAGGAACTTGATTCCTGAAAAATAAAAAAAAAAACACAAACCCCAAAACCAAAACCACCACAACCAACCCACAAAACAAAACAAAAAACCTCCACAAAACCACAACAAAACAAACAAAACCAAGCCCAAACCAAACATGCTCTACCTTCTTAGGGTCCATGTTGAATTTCTTCCTTCCCATGGCTATTTGCTTATTTCTTTGAGTAGTTTTGCTACACATGGAGAAAAAGAAGAAACAATAAGCAGTTATCAGTTGCTCTTTTACAAAACCAGCAACTTTTGGGTGAGCTTATTTGAATTGTATTTTGGCTACTTTGTATTTTCTATTACAAAATGGAGACATTCACTTTTTATAAAGCAGAAAATTATGTTGCTATTTTCAATTCCTTCAAGTAATTCCAACTTGAGAGAACTGCATGATTATCAATCAGAAATATTTCATGTTCTATCCAACATATTCTCTATCCAAATGAATGGCACAACCGAACAGGATAAAGTCAGGCTTTAGAGACTTTATAGCAGACCAAATAAAGGTGATCCAATGTTTACTTAGTGTGACAAAGCTATTTTCATTTGCAATTCCTGGAAGACCTGTTCCAAGGTTTTATTGAATCATGTCCATGTTACCACTACTTACCTTTCTTCTACACTAGTCAGATTATCAATTTCTGTCATAACCTCAGCAATTTCAAATTTTAATCTCTGCCAAAAGAAGGAAGAACAATATGTTAATCTACATTAAGACACTCTTTGAAATCATCTATCTTACATTAATATGATCAATTAGGTTTTATTTTCTAATTGCTAGTCACCTGAAGAAAAGTGATGAATTTTGTGGCTTCCTTAGATATTTAGCTTAGAGATTTTACCACAACTGATTTGACTGTTAAATACGGATCTGAACTCCCAGTGCGGGCTCATGGCAGAGCACTGAGACCAAATCAATTTCAGTGTAAGATTTCTTTATGCAGATTTTTCACTTACTTATACCCTGTATGTAAATCTGCTGTTTAACGAGTTCTTGACTACACAGATCAATTGTATACAGATGATACATACTACATTAAATCCAAAAGCTATCTTTTTCAAAAGCACACAAATGATGCATAAATCCTATACATTGACAGAATTTAGCTTAAGCCATTTATATGCTTTTAAAACCATCATCTGGAATTCATACAGCAGTTTACTGTAACTTAATCTACTGAACCAGCCCTTTAAGGATCTTTACAGATAAATCAATTACCTCAATATCATCAATCAACTCTTTTTTCCTGCGACGAATATTTAAAAGCTCTTCTCTTTCTTCTATGGAGAGGTCATCAGGCACTGGAATAAAACAAAATGTAGAGTCTTTTACCATTTGCAAATATGAGAGATGATCCCATATGAAAACAGAACAAATAATTTCTGCACAGTCCTCATTTCCAAACCACCTCTGTTCTGGAAAGTTTTCACCAAACTTGCAGTACTACACAGGCATTCATCTCTCAGTACACTTCAGACTTAAACTTCTCTGCTCTTTGTAATGGGTTAAAACTTAAACAGGGGAAGCTTAGATTGGCTATAAGGAAGAAATTCTTTACTGTAAGGGTAGTGAGGCACTGGAATGGGTTGCCCAGGGAAGTTGTGAATGCTCCATCCCTGGCGGTGTTCAAGGCCAGGCTGGACAGAGCCTTGAGTGACATGGTTTAGTATGAGGTGTCCCTGCCCATGGCAGGGGGGTTGGAACTGGACGATCTTAAGGTCCTTTCCAACCCTAACTATTCCAAATACACGTCATCACAGAAAACTGAATAAACCCGATTAAGAAAAGTAAGCTTACATGAATCCTCAGGGCATGTGGGCTTGTTTTTTTTTTAAGCTGTGATCATTTTCAGGGTGAATGGAGGGGGAAAGCCACACACAAACAAAATAAAAAAATTAAAAAACAAAACAAACAAACAAAAAAAAAACAACCAAACAAAAAACCCCACCCAAACCAACCAACCAACCGACCAAAAAAAAATCCCTACACCAACAACACTAATTTATTGGAATTCTACTTTATAAAATCATAAGTAAAGTAACTGAATGAATGACTATGGACAGAATCTGTCGTTAAAGTGGCACAAAGGAAACTGTGGGAAGATTTGGCTCTACACATTAATTGTTATATTCAAGCCTGCTTCATTCCAATTATCTCTATAACAAACCAAAATTTATGTAAATTAATTATGATTCAAAAGACACGATTAACTTTCATGGTCAAAAGCCAAAGAATAGCCAAAGCTCTATATAAGAGGTGCATACTGGTGCTGACTTCAGACAACATCATAATTTTAGCAGTACCCCTTCATTTGCTCGCTTTGAAGGGCAGAGCAGCAGGTAAGTACAATACTACTAACATTCTTAACAGTAAATCCTTTCCACCTGTAGGATATACAAATAAACACACAGTCAGAATCAATTATTTAATACAGTGCTTCTTAAATTTGTGGGTTTTGTTTAACATCATTTAAGTGAGTCTGAAGTATTTAAGTCCATTTTAGGTCTCTCCTTGGCTCTGCTAAAACAAATGTTATATAAATGCTGATAAAAATTTATTGCTACTGAAGGTGCAAACACGTTTCTCTACACTCCTATGGCCACCACTCACTCTAGCATCAGCCCTTTATCCTGCAGGCTCTGCCTGACAACCAGCAAATGTGAAGACTTATTTACACAAACCCTCTGCTTTTCTTGAGCCATTAGGCTTTCCCTAACAAGAAATTTCTTTGGACAGATTACTCCTGCTCACTTGTACAGCAGTAGATATTAACCACAAATATTCACCTCCTTTGCGATGATCTTATAACAGCAGTTTTAATGCTACCCACTTTTGTTGGAAATAGCTACTTAGTTAGAGAATAGCTGCTCCTTTTACCCCTCAGTAAGATGGAATGACAAAAATAATTATTAAGACATTTAAGGAGCTCTGTCCCAGCAGCAACACACAACAAATACCATCACTTGGGATGGCTAAAGCTGTTTCTGTCATACACGTCACAGACTGTAGCAACAGGATCACAAGCAAAGGTTTGGCTTGATAGATTTTTAAAGCCACATTTGAAACACAGTCTTCATTCAAATGTTAATAATGAAATATATTGGTTATTTTCAACATCCAGTGGTTAAGCTCCTTTCATGATTCAAATCATAATATAAAATCCAAATGGCAACAGGCCTTGTTAGACATGAAGTAATTATGGCAAATGATCTCATTTAACTACTCCAGATACAAACATGATTAAATTACTTCCAGTTTAGGAAATAACAGTCTTCTGTTGAACGAATACCAGGTTTCAATATGTTTACCTACTTTTTCTCTTCATCTCATCAGGAATCCACCCAATCCACCCATTCCTAAAAAGTTCTTTGATGCAAATACTGATAAGATTCTTTTTACATCAAACCTTATAAATACACGCGCCTCCATCACATCTTTGTCTACGTGTATACTTTAAGACTTTAAACCTCAGAAGATCTTTTGACTACATGAACACTATGTAAATACCCATACCAAAAATACTCCAATTAGTTAACCAAAGACTAAAACAAAAAATTACAACTGTTATGCAACGTCGACTGTTAAAAAGGCAAACTGTGTATAATCAATCACTCTCTTAGCTGGGAAGTATGCTGAAGTGTATTTAAAAGCATTTCTGTAGTCTTACTTCAGTAGATGAAATTAGATTAAAATTTTGCAGTACTAGCATTAGTAAAAGTTTTTAATTTTTCAACTTTTTGCCACAGCAGACGTTTTCGTGACTCTCACCTTTGCTGGCAGCTGGAAATACTAATCAGAACCCAAACAGAAAATAATCTTTAAGAATTAAAGAGATTTAACAGGGTGTACTTGATTTTTCTTCAAGCTGAGGTATCAAATCTCTGGATTAGCTGCTATCACAAATCCTTGACACTCAGAACAGTTTTGGAATATCTAGAACAAGTGAAATTGCTGTCACAATTCATGTTGATTTCATATAGTTTTCTATGCTCAGGCAACCCACCAACGAAAAGAAACCAAACACCTCAATACTTTCCCTCCAGCACCCAAAGACTGTCTGTTGTGGTTTTTTCCTTTGCTCTGATCACAGCCACAGCAGAGACACAACCCTCACAGTATAATTAATGATACTGTTAGACAAGAAGGAAATAAACTAAATGGAGTCAGACTGCCTTTTGCATTAGGAAATAACATCAAGTATTTATCTGCCAGATGCAAGACAAGGAAAGTCTACTGGAAAAGAAAATTCTGCACTTGGAGAGCACTTAGTATTAAAGAGACAATTGCATAACAATGCAACATCTTTAAATAATGGTATTAATACCAGAGCCAAAAGATTTTGGTATCCCTGATAAGAATAAAAGAACCAGGAGGCAACTGAGGGTTACAATACTGTTCAGCTTCCAGAAACTATTGATATACTCAATATTTTACTTTCACTCACACTCCCAGCACAGAGAAGGGATGACTGACTTGACAGGATGATTCCTAAGTGCACCATCCTATCCTCACCATAAACTGGCATGTGTGCAAGACACTGAAGATGTCCGCCTTGTTCTCATCCTTCTATTGGTTGTGCTTCACCACTCTCTTCTTCAGTGCTGCTGTTCACACTAGTGAGAAATCATCAGTGGAAAAATGAACTCACCAGAAAAAAAATGGTTCTTAAAGAGACTGTATGTGGCATTACAGCAACTTCAGAGGCTGAACTTCTGAACTTCTCCAGGAAGCTACATGACTTTGCCTATTGTCCCTGTTTTGATTCTCTGTCTTAAACCAAAATTTAACAATATTTCTCTATTTCAATAAAGGTCTTTGAAATAGTAATATTGGAGGATGTGCCTACCTTAAATGAAAGGAAGAGTGGAAGATACTCAACTGCAGCTAAAACCAAACAAAAACAAAACAACCCCCACATTAACACAAAAGGGCACCCACCATTAATTAAACCTTTTCCTTACAACTAAGAAGTGAGGATCTACTCTTTTTCATGTCAATTGTTCTTTGCTTTTTATTGATCCCTAATGAACATCTAGAAAATAAAAAAAAAATCCTACATTCCACTTCTAAATAATAAAATGTTTCTTCAGTGACAGCTGCAAATGGCAATCGGTTCTTCTGACTTGAGCATGAGGTGCCTTATGCAACATGCAACACAGGGACCACAGTGAGAGCCTGAAAATAATTTTCTTTGGAAAGCAAACCTGTAAAGCTGCGGTAGCCAGGTGTTCTTAGAAAATGGAATAAGCACTTTTAATAGCTACAGTTTGAAAAGAAAAATATTCATTTTATTGACTCAAAAAATTGAAAACCACAGTTGAGATGTTTTGTGTCAAAGCTGATTATTAGACTCATGACAAGCAAATGGAAGATGGAAAATGGCCAATGAATAACAACAGTGCATTAAAACATCTTTACAGTCCTAAGCAAATACAGCAGATAACATGACAAGTGATGCTCTGCCCTGGCAGGGCACCTTCCATAAGCCACCTTTATGACCTCAGCAGCTTGAACGCTTCTGCTTTTTCTAACCTTGTGTTCATGTAATCCCCCATGCAGAAGAGCTCATAGAACATGTATTCCGTGTTTGTGCTGTAAGACAAATTTTCTAGTTATCCTCTCTAAGTCATTTCAAGTTTTTTGTCTTTCACCAATCTAAACACAAAGTAGACAGGATGGGAGGAGTTAACATGAACATTTAAATACTGAAAAAGAAAAAAAGCAATTCAGTATAGTGAACAAACTGCAGTTGCAGTATGCTTTCATGCTATCGTCTAATCTTTAAATAAAGACAATGTTCTAATCTAACTCGCTTGTGGGAAAACCATTTAGTTTACAGGGAGTGTTTCCTTTTCCTAAAACTTCAGTTTTAGCTGCTACTAAATTGAAAGTCAGTATATCTAATGATATTTTATTTAAGAGGAACAAAGTTGTTGAAAATACAAATTATACTCTTGGCCAAGCAGTGTTGCTACTCCTCCTCCTCCTCACAGAAAAAAAAAAAAAAAAAAAAAAAAGGAAAAAAAATTAATACATACCAACTTGGCCTATCTCTCTTCAATTACCATAACTGACCTAGACATAAATAAATTTCCTGTAAACTAATACTTACTGGAATATACTTTCAATGCAGGTTTGTTTACTCCAAATGCATTAGAAAAAAACCCAACCAAAACCCAACTGTAGCTTGCCACAGAAATCGGTGTACTGCCTCGCAGTTGTGTTGTCACTTTAAACCATTAAACATGTTAAACAATTTTCCACTGCTGACAACCCAAGTACAGTATCCAAACAAGAGCAT